ATGTGTTTAATACAGAGAGTGTCTAAATGACCACCCCCAATCAATACTCTGACACCAAGTCTCTAATGAGCTTCCCAGAGAGACAAAAATTCCATATCCGATGTAAGTCATTGTTGGGAGAGTCACGTGCATCCTGTATGACTCCATGGAGACAGGAGTCCCGGTAGCTGATGCCAGGTCCCCTCCCTTTGTGGATCCTGGCGTGTGTCCTCTTGATGTAGCATCCCTTAACTGTGGGTGAAACTACATGCCCGAGCCCTGTGTGTTATCCAACCATTCTACCTGAGGGTGGCCTTGGGAATCCCCTTCCCAAAGGTATATGGCATTTACTATTTAAAGTAATATTTAAGGTAGCTATGGCATTATTATTTAAAGGCAAGAAAGCTAATTCATGAGGAGGTGAAGAAACTACTCAAAGGCCACAGAGGCCCTTGGCATAGCCAATGTATGGGCCCATATAGAATGGCTGTTTTTTAACACCTGTGTATACACTAAAACTGTAGGATCGCTACCTTCCTCATTGGGTGGCTCTGAATCAGGGCAGGTATGTTTGCTTAGAACACGCGGCACACTGCATAGCCTATTATTATATCAATATGCACTCTCCCATCCCTTCCACATCCTCACCAAATACCACAGTCCCACCGACCAGCAGAATGTCCCTGAGAAATGGAAGTATCTTTGAGAGGAAGAGAGAGCTATGGCATGGAACTCATTCTGCACCCTGTCTGTTTAGTTTACAATGATATCTATTATGACAGATTTGACAGATTCTTACTAAGACAAAAGGAGCTCCTACATTTCCTCTGTCTCGACTTGTGTGGCCTCTATCTTCCCAGCTTGGAAGGTCTACAGGCACAGTAGGTGACAGTGAGGAAGTCAGCATGGCAAGTGGGATGTTCAGAAGGGTCAGTTTACGGGAGCCCCTCTTTGATGGTGGCCATATTTTCTCCTACCCACCTGCAACTGGGCACACATTCTGAGCACAAAAGTAGTAACATTGGGTTTCCTGGAATCGTTATTTCTCAGCTCCCCCTCCTACTCCTCAAGCCTTCTGATTAATAGAGATACCCTGTTTCCATGGAGGAACATCAGATGACCTCAGCCTCCCACAGCCTCCCTCAGATCTATTCTTGCATTTCTTTCAAAGGGAATCTATTCCTGTTGAAGGTCTGTCTGTGATGAGCCATACCGAGGAGACGATGATGATGATATTGTTGTGGGTTGATAGCTTGTCAGGGCCCAGGCTGCCTGATGGTAGACAGTGGGGATGGGGAAACACAGACGCCTTCACCTCCGTCTACTCCTTGAAATTCTCTAGAATTTCTCTTGAAGTTCTCTAGAAAAGCAGAGCTTATTATGATATAAAACACTCCTTTGAATGGGAAGGCCAGGAGCACGGTGGCTTGGAGTTATAATGTTTGATAGCCAGGGGATCAAATCTGTCCTTGCTAGCCCAGTTTCAGTAAAGTAAAATTGGGAAACCTATGGATGTGCTAAAAAAGACCCCTTCACCATCATGGGTGACAGAAAGAGAAGGGTAAAGGAATAGGATCTAGGAAGAAAAGCTGGTGGTCTCCAAGGAACACTTTATACATATGGAAGCTTTTCATACAGGATAATTCTAGCAGCCAGTATTTGGTAGGGGGGGGGGATAAAGCATGAGACACTGGAAGGGAAAAGATCCCCCCCACTATGAAATAAAAGGCATGTTAGTCTGAGGGAAACAGGTATCTTCATAACAAAGAACATAAATGGTGCCAAGACCCTGGCAAAGAGTCACCTTGTCATGGGCTGAACTCTTCAAACATTTCCTTAGCCAGAAGCCCTGGGTTCCAGTCACACCTGCAAATGTCATTTGATCAGCTGCCTCCCACTGCAATCTCCTGAGCTTCTTTATCAGTAAAGAGGATACAACCAACAATTACTACACCCACTGAGAAAATCCAATAAAACGATAGGGGTTAATGTGCTGAGCATACAATAAGTTAATATGCTAATGTTGGCTGTTACTATTTTTGTTGTTTTGAGACAGGGTCTCACTTAGTTTTGGGTGACCTGTACCTCACTATGTAGCTCAGGCTAGACCTGAACTTGCAGAAGTCTTCCGGAATCAGTCTTTCAAGTACTGGGATTGCAGACAAGAGCCATCACGGCACGTTAAATCAATGTTTTGGCTAAATTAATGATGTTCATTAGAGCAAGGATTAAAGAGAACACTTAAACATAAAATAGAAACCTAATTTTCACTCTGCTGAACATTAAAAAGAAAGAATTGCCCCAAGAGCCAAACCAAAGAAAGCTAAATTATAGGCAGAATGGGTATTGCCATAAATTCCATGAATGGTCAGTCAAAATATCAGCCTTTTCCTTATTGTGGCCGCCTTAATCCTTCCTCCTGGGACTGTCTGGTTAAGTTGCACACAGTGGTCTAAACAGGCCATGGACATCAATTAAGATTTAGGTCAAGGCCTCTGTCACAGTCAGTGATTTAGTTTCTGGGACAAAGGAAGACAAATCCTTCCTCATGGCTGGAGAAGAATAGCGTTCCTTTCCATTGTAATCAGGCTTCGGCAAGGAAATGTTGGCAACCTAGGCAGGGCAGTGCGGAGGGAGGGGGTGTGTGTGGGGGGGTGTGTACCTGTGAAAGCCATTAGGTGGTTGAACTTTTGAAATACACAGCCAGCACAAATATGGTTTAACAATTTTTACTGTTGGAAAGAATCTCAGAGAAAGGAAATTTGATTTACCTCCCAATGCAGTTTTCTCCTCGCTGAAGGAGCCCACCATGCTTGTCATAGTCGAGATTCCCCCACCAATCATCGTCATAGAAACCTTCTGCTCTTTCCCTGTAAGCACTAGACTGTAGTTAGATTTAGAGTAAACTACAATTAGCAAGTCTCTCTCTCTCTCTCTCTCTCTCTCTCTCTCTCTCTCTCTCTCTCTGCCTCTCCTAGAAGGCTTGCTGTGAAAATTCTTAAGATGCTCCTGTCTGACTTTTAACTCTTCCCAGGAGACCAAACCCTCATCTCCATCTAATGATACCCTCAGACTGAATGATACCCTTAGAACCAAGGAGTCCCTAGAATTCTGTAAATGGAGCTACTAGCCCTTCTGGCATCATCTGCCTAGCCCTCCTGCACACAAACTTAGGGTCTCCATCAGAATTCTCAAGACTTCAGAAAGCTCAGTTTTGGCTGTCCCCAGGGCTTTTTCCCAAGTGTGGTCAGAGGCAGGCAGTCACTGCTGACTTTTCAGGAGCATATTTTCCAACTATTTCAGTGAGTGAGACAGACAAGGTGTTAGCCAAGGGGAAGCCATGGGTGTAACGTTTCATGGGCAGCCCTGCATTCAGCTCTTTGCCCTGGGCATTGGTGTTTGTACTTTGAGAGGGAGAGATACAGATGGAGGTAAATCAGAGACCTAAACATATATTCAAGAAGGGCAAAGCAACAAAGACCTATTTGATTTATAAATAATGAATATAATGAATCTAGCAGTACTTTTTATTCCCATGATTCATTAGCACATGAATTGTCGGTGTTGAGGGCTGGCCCGATGATGCAGTGGGCAAAAACACTTAGCACCAAACTTGATAACCGGAGTTCAGTTTCCAAAATTCAAACAGTGGAAGGAGAAAACTGACCCCCAAAAGTTGTCCTCTGACTTCCACACCCATGTTGTTTTGTTTTTTTTAAAAGGCACTGTCAGTGTTGAAAGCCTACTACATCAAATCTTTCTCTTCCCTAATGAACCACGCCAGGGTAAAAGTCAACACACACCAGAACAAATAAGCCCAGCAGTTTTCCAACATTAATCCATTAGAAAAAGTTCATGCTGGTGGTGGTCATGTCTGTGTTGGGCTCATCAGTGCTTGGCACATTGCAGAGATCCAGAACGTGTTTGGTGACCAATGGCTGTGACCACAGGTTGGTCTGTGTAAGAATAAAACTGTTTCAAGACTGCCCTCCTCTACTTCAGTTGTCCTCAGCAGCTCTAGACATTACGTGACTTTGTGCTCTGAGGCTGAGCTGAATTGAACGGAATATTCTAGATGCATTTGGGCTTTGTCTTGTTTTCCCATGGTCTCTGATTCCGATGTAATTCTCCTTTTTTTTTTTTTTCCAAATCCTTGTTTCCCTTTCATATTCCAGGTTGACCTGGAACTTACTTTGAATGACCTTGAATTCTGTTCCTCCTGCACCCATTCCTGAGTGTTAGGATTGTAGGCCTGTATCACCATACTTGGCTTATCTGCTTCTGGGGAATCGAATTAGGGGGGCTTTGAGCATAATAGGCAAGCACCCTTCTAAGTCACACTCCAGCCTAGTACCTTCTCTTTGAGGAAGCTGCATTGACTGTCCTCTGATCTCTCCTACACAGGAATATGAAGCAAGCACCTTTATATCCCATATTTCAGACATAGTTGGAAGCATTTTGTGTGTGACTGCATATTAGCTCATTTTCAAAACTACCCAGTGTGATAGGACCTATCTCATCCTCTGCAAATCAGAGATTGACTTGCTCCAGGGGACTTGACAGGTGTGTGGCAGAGGTGGAATTTGAACCCGGGCTGCTGTTGGCTTCCTTAATCACATCAGCCTTATTCTACGTCATTTGTGTCTGTCCATCTCCTGAATTCCAGCATCATGTCTCAATGTACACTGCTGCCGATTGTTTCCTGACTGTTCCCATGCTGCAAAGAAAGGAGTCTCCTTACACAGAGTGTATGTTACTGCTTCTATGTAGCTTTGAAAATGTTTTTACTTTCTGTTCTATTTTAGCAGTTATTGGTTACCAAATGAACAAGAGCGGTCAACAATAAAGATCTGAGACTTACTGTAAAGTTTAACAATTCTTAGTATGTGTGGCGGTTTGAATAAGAATGACCCCTATCAGCTCATATATTCAAATGCTTGGTTCCCCATTGGAGGACTGTTGAAGGAGGTATGGCCTTGTTGGAGGAAGTGTGTCACTGTGGTTGGGCTCTGAGATTTCGAAAGCCTGTATAAGTCAGGCTGTCTGTCTGTCTGTCTGTCTGTCTTCTTGTCTCTCTCTCTCTCTCTCTCTTTCTCTGTTTCCCTACTGCAGGTCAGGGTGCAGTTTCTCGACTACTTCTCCAGCTCCCTGTCTTCCCGCCGACCACCATGCTCCCCGCCATGATGAAAATGGACTAACCCTCTGAAACTGTAAGCCAGCCCCAACTATTTTGTTAGACTTTTGTTGCATAAAGTAAGAGATTAAAAAAAAAATTCATTCTAAAAATCTAGTCTTATGGTACCAAATGGATGACTCAGCGGATAAGGGCACTTGTTCATATAGAGGACCTAGGTTTCGTTCCCAGTACCCACAGGGCTCATTTCCAGAAGTCCAGTTCTAGAGGATCCAAACCTCCCCTTTAACCTTTACAGGTGCCAGTCCCATAAAAGTTAGACATACGTTCCTGCAGGCAGATTTCCCATACCCACCAAACAAATCTTAAAAGAAACTGGTATTACACTGAATGTTTTACTGTTTGTTCATTTAAACTTGGCACTCATCCCTTCATATCCCTGTTCCCCGTTTGTTGGTTGGTTTTCTTGAGACAGGGTTTCTTTGTAGTTCTGGAGCCTGTCCTGGAACTAGCTCTTGTAGACCAGGCTGGCCTCGAACTCACAGAGATCCGCCTGCCTCTGCCTCCTGAGTGCTGGAATTAAAAGTATGCACCCACTGTCCAGCTCCCCTGTTATTTTTAACAGTAGCATACTACTCCAGAGTGAACTGCCAAATGTAGTTTACTAGAGCCCCACTAATGGGCATTCAGATCATGCTGACTCCTGTATTTACACACACACAATTTCTAAAGGAGGAAGCCCACACCAGGCTGAACTTGGCGGAGGAGTGCAAGGGCAAAGTTGCCCATCTTGACTACTCAGAAAACAAACAGTAGAGAGAAAATATGACACCCAAATGGGAGAGATTCTTGACAAAAGGGACTCCATATTGGAGAAGATAAGCTATTAGTCGTAACCATGGTCTCCTTACTAAAATTCCACTCTGAAGTGCACTGTGCGATATGATCCCTATGGTCTTTCCAGTCCTGACTGAAACCTTGGCATGAAGCACTGCTCCCTTCCCAACCATACAACCAAGGCTTCAGACAGTCAATGCGACAAAAGGAAAGGGTTATTTTGGCCCACAGTTCCAGAGTTTTCAGTTCTTGTGATGACTAATCTGCACTAACAAACCAACTGGATCACTTATGAGGCATATCTCAGTGTGTGCCTGTGATCTATCTTAGTGTGTGCCTGTGATATATCTTAGCATGTGCCTGTGATATATCTTAGTTTGTGCCTGTGATATATCTTAGCCTGTGCCTGTGATATATCTAAGCGTGTTCCTGTGATATATCTAAGCATGTGCCTGTGATATATCTTAGTTTGTGCCTGTGATATATCTTAGCCTGTGCCTGTGATATATCTTAGCGTGTGTCTGTGATCTATCTTAGCGTGTGCCTGTAATCTATCTTATCTTGTGCCTATGAGAGTCTTTTCTGAGTTTAGCTAAGGATAAAAGGCACACATGGCCTAGAGTATGAGACTGAACAGAAAGGAGAAGAGGAGAAGCCAGCTGAGCATCAGCATTTACCTGATTCCTGACTGCAGATGCAACGTGACCAGCCACCTCAGGCTCCTGCCTCCCCAGCTAGAGCCACTCCTGATGCCAAGCTTTTTTCCTTCCAATGACCACATCCTCGCTTGAGCCATTAGCTTTGTCAAGTATTCTGCCTCAGCAATCAGAAAAGTCACCAGTACCGCCCATGCTTAGGTGCTCTGTTGCTTTGGACCTGTGACAAGGCTGCATCTAATAGCAGGAACATGTGGTGAAGAGGACCACCAACCTTCAGATCAGGAAACAAAAGAAATGCCTGGGGCCCCAGTCTCCCCTTTCAAGGGCATGCCTCCAGTGACCTAATTCCTACTGATAGCCCTCACCCCCTGCAGGTTCCACCTTCTCAAGAGCACAATGAAGGCCTTTAACATGAGGACCTTTGGGGTCAGTATCTAAACTGCAGCAGATGGTGGCCTGCTGCCTCCAACAGTCACATTTCTTAAGAAAGGGTTGATAATATTTTCTTGTTCGATTCCCTTGCCCATGGCCATGTGTGTTGTTTCATAGCTGGCCAGCACAGACACATTCATTGTAAGCAAATAGATTCCCAGTTCTGAAGAACATGAACAAATGCCTTGATTTCTGATGGCTGCTCTCTTTTAACACAGACACACAGACACACAGACACACACACACACACACACACACACAGACACACACACACACACAGACACAGACACACACACACACACACAGACACACACACACACACACAGACACACAGACACAGACACAGACACACACACACACACAGACACACACACACACAGACACAGACACACACACACACACAGACACACACACACACACAGACACACACACACACAGACACACACACACAGACACACACACACACAGACACACACACACACACACACAGACACACAGACACACACACACACACACACACCAAAAAGAGGCTAATGAAATAAATAGCCACGCAGAGAAACACAGCACACACTGCGGAGTCTTTCCTTCTATGTAGTTCCAAAGCAGTCACCTCTGAGGTGGTTCTTTGAACCAGTTGGTCATAAAAAAAAAATTAGAGGGAGAAAAAAAAATTAGAGAAAGTGTGAAGAACCTGAAATAAGCGTGCACAAACGACTGTGGCCATTTTATTTTCAGTGAAATTGTGTGTAATTGTTCACTCTCTGCATAATGGATGCCATGCTCTGTGTAGGTACTAGAATGTGCTTCACACTGTCATGCCCCTTAGGTCTGTTAGCCTTGAGACAACTAAGTCCATAAAGTAAAAAAAAAAAAAAGAAGAAGAAGAAAAGAAAAAAGAAAAAACTTCGCTCCTTCTCCTTTCCTTAGTCTATTCCATTATGCTTTGAAAGGGAAAATTTAAATTTGATTGACATGAGCTGAGCTCACAGAACTGAAATCTACTGTAAATACTTCAGTCCTTTTCACTGGGACCTCTCTCCCACCTCCATATATGATCCACTTGAGGATGAGGCTTATCTTCGACTTGATGATGCATCCCTAGGAATCATACTAGACACCCAACAATTGTAAAGAGGTGATCGCCAAGTTTCTGAAAAGCAGGACAGAATCTGAGCCAATTAATTTTATGAAAAAACTTGGTTAGGTTGATTATATGTGTGTGTGTGTGTGTGTGTGTGTGTGTGTATGTATATGTACATACATACGTAAAATATATTGATAATTACTCTAGGTATGTTTATAGGATTTATATTTAAATCAGTAGATTGTGAATATGTTAAAATGGTTATGCACAATATTGGGGGAGGGGAGCACATCCTATCACTTGCAGGCCTAACTAGACAAAGGCCTTGGGCTTGCAGTGCAGCACCCTACTGGCCTGACGCTTGTCAGCTCCTACACTAAAGCAAACCCTCTCTCCCCACCCCCACACTTTGTATATATAAGATGGTCCTCAATTTAGAAAGGCCCAAATTAGGACTGTTCAGCTTTTGGTACTGTGAAATTGATGCACACTCAATAGAAACCACGCCACGCTTGTGGTTTTCAGTGTGGCTCCCCTGCTATCTCCATGTATTTGAATCCTCTCTCGTGATGCTCAGTAGTAGCAGCAGCAGCAGCAGCAGCAGCGAGCCACAGCTTCCGGTCAGCCCCTGAGTATGACTTGCTGAAGCTGTGTCCCTCGGTGTGACCCAAGGCACCAGATTGCGACTCTTGTTTCCCAGAGGCACACGGAACCACCCACAGTCTCACTTCCTCTGCGTGTTTCCTCTCACTGCAAGGGAGACTGTGGGTGGGGAATTCAGAGTCATGAAAAGTGGTCAAAAGGTCCTTGAGATCCACAGGCAATGCCATTGGATGATGGTGTGATCGCAGCACAGCAAGGCGGCTGCAGAGAACACAGCCATGGGAAGCTCGCAAGGGAGCATGTAGGTGATCTGCCTCTCTCTAGTATCAAGGGAAGTAGCCGGCGCCCGCCACCTGATCTGCTGGTCTGGGGCCCAGGCTTCTGGAAGGGAGGCTCTTTACACGGACCCCTAAGCCGAGGGTTTATGGGCTTTGTGTGAGGGGAAGTGGATGGTAAAAGTGAAAGCTGAAATTTCCCCAAGCCTGCCTAGGTTGGGCCAGGCATGGTCTTTTTCTTTTTCCCTTTCCAAGGTATCTTCATCTTTCCCTTCTTCCTCCTCCCATCTTACATCTCATCTCTGATAACACCTTTCCCTGTCACCCAAGCATCTAATTCCTCCACTCTTGGTGTCTACGTAGAAGTGTTTCATTCCGCCCCAAACAGCTCCTTCCCTGGGCTCTCAAACGTCTAATTCTTTTCCTCCTAATGTCTACTTAACCTGTTTCATTTTCTCCCCTCCCCCATCCTCTCGCTCTCGCTCTTGTCCTTGTTAGGATCTCACTAAGTAGCTCAGGCCACCAAGCTCTCATCCTCCTGCCTCAGGCCTCCCAGTGCAGGATGGCAGGGGGTCCTGCTACTTTGAGCTCTGAAGTTTGTCTCTAACTTCAGGTTAAGCCTTACGTCTCTGCTGACAATATTTTGTGTTGGAGAGATGGAGAACTTGAGAGCTATGGTGCCCTCTAGACATCCCAGCTCAGAGCCTGCATCGTTGCCAATTGCTTAACTCTATAAATTCATAGAGAAAACAGACTGTCATGAATTCACGTAATAGATTGCTATGCTGTTGTAAAATTAACCACCGATCAATCACAAATCAGTCAATCTCTCTCTCTCTCTCACTCACTCTTTCTCTTTCTTTCTCTCATACGCTGGGGCCTGAAGATAAAACTCTGGCTTTACACAAGTCAGCTAATGGTTCTACCCCTGAGCTATCCTAGTCCATTATTGATACCTCTATATTAACATGTCTAACCCCTGGAAACAATGTTAAGTCAAAGACCAAGTCACAGAAGATATATAGTAAGAGTGCATTTATTTTCAGTTACCAAATCAGTTCTCTCTTCTCTCTCTCTTCTCTCTCTCTCTCTCTCTCTCTCTCTCTCACACACACACACACACACACAGATGCGAATATATAATCTATTTATGTATTTCACACATGTGTGAGTATATGAACTCATTCTATCTATCTATCTATCTATCTATCTATCTATCTATCTATCTATGTAAAGACATGAGGCCATGTATATTTTGAAAGAAGAGAAGGCCATGTGCATTTTCAGATGAGGACAAACCGACTTTGCTAATACACATTGAAAATTATTGCTGGGGCTGAACTCAGTAGACCGAAAGAATGAAATGCTAAAAAAAGATTTATGTAAACTCAAATGGATTAAGACCCTAGCTACCGTTTTGTACCATGTAAAATGAAGGCAGGTTCCACACCCTGGAAATTTCGCTCTAATGATTTCTGAAGGAGACAGATCAGTCAAGGAGGTGGCAGTTATGCATAGCTGGAGAGATCACGTCCCAGGGAGATTTTCCTGAGATCTTGCTTGTGCCCTCTCTCCAAGATGATGTGAAAGGAATGAAGAATATCACCCACCCCACCCCCACTGTAGCGCTTTGAATAGACAGGCGAGATCTCAAAACCAAAATGTCTCTAGACAAGGGCAGACGGCCGTTGGATAATAAGACATAAAACCTAACAGTGACATGCCAAATAACATTTGTCAGCGATGGGTTGTGTATACAGTGATGGCCCTATCACATTCTGGTAGAGCTGAAAAGTACTGTCCCCCGGTGAGAGCACAGTCACGATGCCACTCTATGCCACATCACTCTATGTGCATGGTGATACTAAGAGAATCAACTGCCAATCAGATCCCTCCATGGCACACCCTGCATGGCACACCCAATGTACATGGTACTTGATAATAAGTTACCTGCTAGTGGTTTAGCATTTACTGTAATGTATCTTTCATCATCAGAGGGCTCATTCTTACAACACAATTTGACCCCAGCAACAACCTTCCTTGTTCCCTGCACCTCTTGATGCAATCTCTAGTGCTTGCTGGAGGCTTGTGCTATTTCGTTCATCATGGCTGCAGAAACAAGAGGCTGTACCATATACATACAATCCACAGCCTGCAGCAGGGGTTCCCAGCCTTCCTAACGCTGTGACCCTTTAGTATAGTTCCTTATGTTATGATGACCCCTAGTCATAAAACTATTTTCCTTGCTACTTTATAACTGTAACTTTCCTACTACTATACATTATGATGTAAATATTTGATTGCAGGATATCGATATGTTATATGTGACTCCTGTGAAAGGTGTGTTCAACCCCCCAAAGGTGTCGCTGCAAGCCCCAGGTCGAGTACCACTGGCCTGTAGCATTCTAAGCATCACCTGCGCTTCTCCATACCCCAGGCTCACCATGAGTCTGTCTTTTCCTTCTCACCAGCCTCTCTTCATTTGACAGTGGGTCTCTCATCTCAGAGCTTTGTGTGGCTGGTCTCTCTGCCCTCTGACTGCCTCCTGAACACCCCCCTCAACTTATCCAGTTTTTATCTCCACGTTCCTTACAGAACCTTACTGACTCCAGGATAGACCAGTGCTCCTTAGAATATGTTCTGGCCCACATCACATCTGTGTGACTTTCAGTGAGGTTCTGGACACAATACCTCAAAACATGACTGTAGGAAGTCATCAAAATATACCATCTAAAATAGGCCCTATGGCGTGTTGTCTACTTTGAGGGGTGATTTTGAGAAATCACAGATATGGAAGCTTTGTCATGTGCTTGTTTATAAAAGGAACTATATCTGTAAAAAGAGAAAAGAAAGGAAGGAAGGAAGGAAGGGGAAAGAAAAAGGAAGGAAGGAAGGAAGGGGAAAGAAAAAGGAAGGAAGGAAGGAAGGAAGGAAGGAAGGAAGGAAGGAAGGAAG